TATCCAATGTTGAGAGAAAATCTTTCTAAAATGAAAATCCTACTACTTCTAAATATTTGTCCAGTTTTGATTTAAGATCAAAGTTTACCAATTTTACCAAAAAAATTAAAAATGAACAACTAATTATTTAGATATTTACTTTTAAATAATATTGTGAAATTTTTAACAATAGATTAATTAGATTATACAAAAAAAATTGATTCGATTTTGCACATAATAAAGGTGATTATAAAAATAAAATGCTCTAATTATTATGCATAACTAACTCAAAATAATAAAATATTACAAAAGTGTATAATATAAAAGATATGGTTGGAGTAAGAATAAAAAAGTAGATGTGTAAAACACTGTTGATAGTGTAAAATTGCATTTACACTACCAACTTTTACACTATCCCTTGAAGATGCTCTAACATTGTCATAAATTTTAAGGACCTCAAGTGTATTTCAAACAATGTAAAATTTGAAGGTTTTTACTACTCCCTCCGTCCCAGAGTATTTGTCCAGTTTGATTTTTTCGAGACAAACTGGACAAACTTTGTGCTTCAATTAAATAAAAACCGTAAAGTATTTTGATATAAAAATGACTTTATTGGATTTATCGTATTGAGAACTTTAAAAATTGTATTTCATTATGCTAATATGTAATACAAATTGAGAGTAATTGGAGTTTAAAGTTTGTCTAGTTTGACTCGAAAAAGTCAAACTGGACAAATACTCTGGGACGGAGGCAATAAAAAATAGAAGATTTTTTCGAATATATTTTAAATAATGTAAAATCTTCGAGTTATTATTAGAAAATTGAAAATGTATTGAACTAATTTTCTAAATTTGTGGGACAATAGTATTGGATAATGAAACGCTTATGTGAAGGGTGCTTTATGATCAAATTCCTTCATTCAAATTTGACAAATTGTTATTTGATCTTAATATATTTATTTTAGTACATAAATAATACTACTCCCTCCGTCCTAATTTGAATGAGAAAAAGACTAAAGTATGAGTAAAATATTGAACATATATCAAAATAGAAGTTTTGCGTTTTTATTTTCGAAATAAAGTTAAAAAGTATTTACAATGTCAATAATGACTATATTCATTACCAAAAAGTGTTGTTAAATTCTATACGCAGTGCCACATTACCACAATCTAAACTCCTATTTTGGATACAAGAACATGGAATTCCTATTTTGGTACTGTTTATGGTTTACTCATATTTAGGGTGATTTCTTAATTTAAATTGTCTGTTTCGGTTTACAATGTTTGACCGAAGTTATTTTCAAATCATTTTATATGAAAAATGGTGTAGAATTAAAAATTAAAAATTTCATATTTAAAAATTACATCAAAAGATCTACTAAACTAGTGATGATATAATTATATTATTTTATCAAATGATTAATCAAAATAGGAAAAGGAAATGAATAAAGTTTAACCGTATGAATGGTAAATATGTAATTTAATTTGGGACAGATGGAGTATGTATGACGTGACGTTTTCCAAAGTAGGAGTCATACGTCTTTCAAGACCAAAATAGGAGTACACACTGTCATTGTTACACTTCCGCACTCACCACATTGCTACATTGTAACTACCACGTTATCACCGCCACACTGTCATCTGTCGTCGTCGGCTACCAGAATGCCGCTGTGGATCACTAGTGGTTGACTGATTACACTGATATGTTACACTATCATTACTTTTTCATCACACTGTCAACGCATACTCTTACATACACCACGCTACCATTGTACTCCTATTTTGCTTTTAAAAGATGTATGATTTCTATTTTTATATTTTCATACTTTTTTACTCTCAAGGAGATTTTTTATTTAAAAAAAGAACCACTTATAAATCGATGAAAGCTATAAGAAGTTTAACTTTTCACAACTCATTCCATTTTAAGTATTTTTAGTACCCGGTATTATTTTTGAGTTTATTGGCTAGATAACTAATCTTATCTTTTGGTAAAGTTGGTGAGCAATTTTGAATTTGATCCGTTTACTCTTAGGACTTGGGACTACTTGGGAGTCTTAGGCGATACCGCATTTTCCTCCCTTCGTAGTCAGTT